AGCCTAATTTCATTTTATTTTTCGGACTTCTACATCCCTAAACAAAATTTAATCGTCGAAATTTACCTTATGGTTGGACAAAGAGTATCAAATATTTGTCTTTAACTTCCTCTTCTCTTTTCCAAGCAACTTCTTCTATTCCATGATTACTCCATTGTACCTCGATCAGTTGAATCTTTTTGTTCCGTAACTTATACACCTTTCGATCCAGTTTCCAATCGGTAATTCCTCATAAGATAAATCTTTCTGTACTTCTTGGTAATTGACCACATGATCAGGATTATGCACATATTTTCTGATTATCGATATATGTAACACGTTGTGAACTGTCGATGGTTCGAGTGGCAAGGTCAATCGATAAGCCACATTCTCGACCCTATCAAGTATCTCGAAAGGTCCGATATAACAAGGTCGTAGTTTCCTTTTCTTGCCAAATCTAAGTACACATTTTATTGGTGTCACCTTTATAAAGACTTTATCTTTAACTTGAAATTTCAAGTCCTTCATTTTGGTATCTGCATAGCTCTTTTGTTTATCTTGCGCTGCCTTTATTCTAGCACGGATCTTATTAATGGCTTCAATTATCCTTTCATGATCTTTGGTCCCAAAGCTCTCTTTTCTTCGACTTCATCCAAATGAACAGGTGATCTGCATGTTCTACCTTAGAGAGCTTCATGCGGTACCATTCCAATAGTGGCCTAAAAGCTATTATTATATACAAATTCCATCAAAGATAGATACGATTGATTCCCAACTGCCTCCTAGATCCAGAACATAAGTTCTTAGCATATCTTCTAAAATTTGAATAGTCCTTTCAGACTGACCATCGGATTGATGATGATATGTCGTACTAAAATTCAATTTTTCTCATATAGCTCCTTGTAAGCTCTTCCAAAATCTAAACGTAAATCTCGGATCTCTATCAGGCACAATGGAGATGGGGACACCATGCAATCTTACAATCTCTTTAATGTACAACTGTACTAGTTGATCTTAATTGAATGTTATTTTTACCGGAAGAAAATGAGCTGACTTTGTTAACCTGCCCACAATTACCTAGATAGCATCGTGTCCTTTCGTTGATTTCGGAAAANTTACAATCTCTCTAATGTACAACTGTACTAGTTGATCTTAATTGAATGTTATTTTTACTGGAAGAAAATGAGCTGACTTTGTTAGACGATGTTTTGTTACCTATATAGAATTATGTCCTCTTGCTGACTTCGAAAATCCTACCACAAAGTCCATTATGATATTCTCCCACTTCCATTCATGTTTGTTGAATGGATTTAATAAGCATGCCGATTTTTTATGTTTCGCTTTAACTTGTTGATACACTATGCAATTTGTTACAAATAGGCCTATACATCTTTTCATATTCCTGCACCAAAATATACCTCGAAAATCTCGATACATTTTTATATCATCGGAATGTGTGGTGTACGGGGTGAAATGAGCATCTTTTAATATCTCATTCCTCAAAACTTCATCTTTAGGTACACAAATTCTTCCTTTAAACATCAGTGCCCGATCCGAAGCTATTCCAAAATCCTTCCTCCTAT